GGGGAATATATTTAAAGACTTTCTTAAGTCTGGATGCTACACATAGCCTGCAGAGAACTTCATTGTACTGCACTGTTTTGTTTTGTTTTGTTTGTGGCTGCAAGTCGTCAAAGTGACCTTACCTTGGTTTTGATCGATGAGTTGCCATCTGTCCACCTAATTCAGAAGTCTGAACTGGATAATATCTTGATTGAAACTTCTAGCTAAATTATTGAAACCCCACCGAACCTTCCCTTTTACATAGAGGTGGATTCTGCAGTTAGTGTGATTTTTTTTTTTCTAGTGCAGTAAACCGTGGTGTGTGATGTGCACTCATGTATGTATTGGGCTGGGATGTATTTCTGGATACATTACAGGAGTACTTACTGTATTCCTAGCTAATGGTGCTTTTTATTCAAAGTAACATTGAAGAGCTGGAATTTTTCTGTGCTGAGAAAAAATAGTAGTGTAGGATATCATGGATTTGCTCTTGTGCACACCACGGGAGCTGCGATGGAGGACCTGTGCATGTGAAAGCAAAGCTGGCGTGTGGAGTCTCTCGGGGATGAGTCGGGGGCGTGCAGTCACCCTGTGTCCTCTGCGTGGGGTGGGCTGGCTCTGAAGAGCAGTTGGGTGGCAGCAGGGGACACTGTGGGGTGACCTGAGGAGCTGCTCAAACAGGATGATGCTCAGGCTGGATTGCTCAGAGGCTCTTCGACCATCTTCCTGGTTACGTTGCAGGTGCAGGCAGAAAGCCAGTGTGCAGGAAGAGTGCTGGCCCCTCCTCTAGTCCTGCTGATGGGTGTTTTATAGCGAGTCCTGAGCACGAGGACTTTGTATTTGTGGAGTGATATTAACTTTATCAAGCCCTGGTGTAGCAGGAACCCAGTAGTGGGACACTACATATAGAGAGAAGCGACAGGCAGCCAGAGCATCCCATCACCAATCTGGGATGCAGGCTGTTGTCTGAGCTGCTGATTTACAAGGGGGTAAAGCAAGAGGGTCCACACATCTTGCTCCTAACAGTTGCATGGGCCCATTCCAGGGAGTGCCTCTGCAGAGCCCTTTCCCAGCCCCTGGCAGGCCAAGACAGCAGTACTGCACCTCTGCATTCTTTAAAACAACGTGAAAGGAAACAAACCCCCAGTGACCAAGCATGAGGAACCTCAGGTGCCCTTGGTCTGAATTGGAGCATAAGCTCTAGCTCTTACTCAGCTGTGGTGGCCTCAGCTTATATCAGAGCTAAACCAAAAGTGATTCAGTGACTCTTTGCTGCCTCATCTCATTCTTGTCAATCACAGGGTGATATTGGGTATGGTGCATTTATGGACTGAAGGTCCCTCTCTCTGTGCTATGCCACGGATGGCTCTGGCCACTGGAGATTGTCTTGCACTTAATCAGCCACAGGCTGAGGTGCTGCTTCCCCCCATGCATCCTCCTTGGTGCTGCTCTGCTGGGGGTGGCCTTGTTATGTCTGAGGACCCTGACTTCATGGTGTTCAGAGGTGGTGTTGCTGTGTGCAGGGGACGGAATAATCATTCTCTCATCATGCAAATTGCCTCAAGAAAAACCAAAGTGCATATATGAGTGGGAAATGGAAATAAACTTGGTTCATATGAGCACTTGCTTGTGAGAAGCCTTTCTCCTCCCTGAAGAGCAGGTTAAAGCATCTGGTGCTGGTTGCAAAGCAAATGAGAATAGCCCCATTCTGGAGGGACCAGCCCCACATGAACCCCAGTATGTTGTATGTGGTAGCTGAGACCTAGGATGGACACTTGGGTGAAATGAGGGTGGCCAGTCCCTGGCGTGAGCCCCCATAAGCACCAGAGCACTGGGACCTGCTGCTGGGCAGCATGGGGAGAGTTTCCAACCCTAGAGATGGATGAGTGGGCAAGGTACCCTCTCCAGAGCAGTAGAGCTTGGCTCTAAAGAGCAGTGTGGGCATGGATACAGGCCTGTGCCTCGCAAAGAGCTTGTGGGAGGCTTTTAGCAGTGGTTGTGTTTGAAAATGTGCTGTCACACACATCCACACACAAACCCCCAAAGTGCTTGAATCTGCACAGCTCTCTGCAGAGGCACCTTGGGGTTTTCTGTTTGCCAAAACGAGCTGGGTTTGGGGGCGGGCTGGAACGAGCTCTCCAGAGGATGGGTTCTGGTTCGTGCTGTTGCCTGACATGGTTTAGCAAGTAGCCACCAAAGGGACCTTTCCACAGAGTGCACTTCTTGATGCCCGTGGCTCTGATGTGTCAGTGGCCACGTGCTGTTTGCTGGTGACAGTCTGCACCCCCATGTCAGGCCTGCGCACACTGGAGCTCTGTGCTGCTGGGGGCTGTGCAGGCAGGTAGCGTTTGCACTTTGCAGTTGATGTGCAGTTGCCTGTTTGTGTGGATGGACATAAACCTTCCGGTTAATGCAGTTTTTGCTCTTGTTGGAGGCCCTTTGGAAAATACAACCTTTTCATTTTGCTCCTTGTTTGTTTAGGGTTTTTTCCCCTTTCCTTCTCTTCAGCAGCTTTTAGCAAATTAATGGGCAATCCCGCATTAACCACCCCTCGGATCTTTCAGTCTGACTGTGGTGGTGGTGGTGAATTCCTCTCAGCTACCCTGGCGCAGGGGCAGACTGGTTGATGAAAAGCGATGCTTTAGGACCTCCATTGAAAGGCAGAGGAAATGGCAGGGGCTGCCTGGCTGTAGAGCCTGGATGTATAAGCCCATGGGCCCACGAGCACCACTGGTGCACTGGGGACTGCTGGCACAGTTGCTACTGAGAAGTGTTATCAAAGGGAAGAAAACCAGAATTAATTTTTTATGTTTTACAACAAACACCCTGTAGCATTGCCCTAAACATCCAGTGTTATGGAAACACAGGCTTAAATGTGTAGCGCTGATAACAGCTGGCAAGCTGGAAGGCCCGTGGCTATGGTACAGGGACAGTGTTCATCCCTGGTGGGACGCTACCGTGTGGGATGGGCGGAGGAGTGTCCCTGGTGCCAGGAAGTGCCCCATGGGCTGTGGGTCCTCAGGAGCCTCCACCAGGGTTTGGGTCGTGATGGGGGGTGTGGACCTGGAGGCTATGGGAGGCAGTGATGCTGCCAGTGCAGGCAAGGACCAGGGAGATTCGGTGAGCCAGTGGGGCAGGGGCTGTGTCGCGGCCATCCGGGGAGGTTATTTTAGGGACTGGCAGCCTGGATAGGGGGAGAAACAAGACATGGAGACCAGGTCGTTGTCCATGTTTCACCTTTCGCTACATCCACCCTTGGGTCTAGAAGTGTTTTGCTTTTCCTTCCCTCCACCCCAAGCAGCACCCCTCACTCAGGGGGCAGCACTGTGTTTGTGGCTGATGTATATGAATTTGGGGGAGAAAAAGGGGAAAACATGCAGGCTGGAGGGAGCCCAGCCCCTCGCTGACTCTCTCCCTTTGCCTCCACAGACTCACGCCTCACTATGTTTACCCCCAAGCTATCATCCAGCCCAGTGTGGTGATCCCTACCCCCGTGCAGTCCATCACTTCTCCCTACATCGACTACACCGCCGCCAGCCAAGCCTATTCCCAGTACACCACAGCTGCCTACGATCAGTATCCCTACGCTGCCTCTCCCGCCGCTGGGTTCGTGGGATATGGATACACTGGGGTTCGTGGGATATGGATACACAGGCACGGTCCAGCCCCCCATCACCGCCAGCAACCCCGCGGCGCCCGCCACCGCCTTCGTGCAGTACCAGCCCCAGCAGCTGCAGCCCGACCGCATGCAGTAAGGGCCCTGCTGCCTTGGACAATCTCTTACAATGGAAGGATACGACTAGGACAACAAAAGCAACAGAAAAACCCAATGAAAGAAACGAAACAGAAAAAGGAAAAAAAAAGAGCACCCCGTCCCTTTATTCCTTTTCCGTAGGTGCATATCAATACCTAAGCTATTTATAGTGTTAAGGGCAAACCCAAACCCTTTGCAGTCTGACTGTGCTTATGAAAATGGACTTCTGGTTAGGTTTTTTGTTTGTATTTTCTTTTTCCACCCCAATCCGGACAAATACTGTCTTGAAGATGTTCTGAAAGTGACTGAAATGTTCCACAGGAAAACTACAGATTCTTGCACACATTGTGATCTGCTTCTATCACCCGTGGTCTTCTTTCCGCCCCTGTCTCATCAGCCTGCCCTTCCTCATCAGACCTACAATCCTCCTATTTACTGTTGAGGTACAGAGGTACTCGGAGAACATGGAAAAAAGCAATCTTATTTTTTGGTTGTACAAAAACTTTGTAATACTCAGAGATGCCTTACAGAAAAGAAAAAAAAAAAAGAAAAACTATTTTTTAATATTTATTGCGATTTTATTCGCATGAGCTGTGAATTGCAGACAGAAGAATAGTAGTATCTGCCTTGTTTAATTCTCATTTTACTAAATTATTGTATGTAGGTAAAAGTTCTTAAGTAATTGCTGAATCACTTCAACATGCAAAAGGGAATATTGGCTTGAAGGAGAGCAGAATATTCCTTTAGTCAACGCACTGTACTATTTTCTTATTGTAATTGTTACTCTGTTAAGATTATCTCAAATTTAGGTATATTTTTAAATGCAAAAAACCAACCAAGAATACCGAACATTTTGTCTACTTTGGTAGATCTTTTTACAATGCTGCAACCTATGGAGACATTTACAGTATTTATGTAAAAGAGTTTTGGGGCTGTTGGCCAGTGAAACTTAGGAGAGTGTATCATTAGTGAAGCAAAAGAGAGAAAGGTGTTAGGTCATTGAACAAATGGGTAAACGTAACCTTTTTATGCCGCCAGTCCAACAGCCAAAAAAAGGAAGAGAACAGATGGTGTAAGTTAAGTGCATTTCTACAAAGAACAGCAATAAACTATTTTAACTTTTAAAATTACTCAATACTGTATGGTACCATGTTTGCTTTGCTGGAGTCCATTAGGGAGTGCTGAGTGCTTTCACATTTGCCTCTGCTGGGCCTTCACCCATGAGCATGCCAAGGTGCATGGGAGCATGTGTCCTGTCGTGCATCCTGACCTGGCGCTCCATGGGTGCCACCATCCCTTGCAGCATGTCCCATGTGCTGTTACTTGGGGGTTTTTGAGCTCCTGGAGCATTGCACTGGAGCCCTGCAGTCCCCAGTGCCCGTACCCAGCACTGGGGCACTTGCTCACACTGCGCATGTGTAGAGCAGAGGCTGTAAAGTGCTGTCCTCCTGATGCAGCTCCAGTGGGAACAAGGACAGTTGAGATCAGGTCTCATCCCAGCATCGTCAGGATATCACTTCCCTTCTTATTTGCTTAGAATAAGGTTATTTTCCAAAATTGAATCCATCCAAAAGTGAGTGGTCTGCCAAAGCTGGCTCCTTTGCATCGGTGAGGTGGCTGCACTTGACTTTCCCTAGCCAGCTTGATTCCGAAATCTTGTTTTCAAATTTTGACAATTACAAAGTATCAGTTTTCAAAGTAAATAAAATTACCCTATTTGATCATACCAGGTTTCTAGTTCATCTCTCTAAAGGTTATAGCAGAGCTGGTGCCAGGAAGTGCCTGCATCTTTGGCACCAGCGTTTATTGCTGTTGAAAGTGATGATGCCTAAAGCCATCCTGGGGATCAGGGTGCTGTAGGGTGAAAGCAAATGCAGTTCAGCACTGTGTCTGATCAGCTGCTCTGTGAATTTAAAGGCATACGGTGGACAGGTCTAACGTTATCAGTAGGCCTCAGAGTAAACAACCCATCTCGATGAATGGAAACAGCTCCTTCCTCCCTCATACTGTGTGGGAATGCAGATCCTGGTGGGGCTCTGTTCATCCTGCCTGGGGTTTTATAGCCATATGGGTAGCATCTATTTCCTTTTTAAGTAATTACTTTCTGGATATGGCCGTGGAGTTGCCAAGGCAGTAAGAGCTGAGTGCCGCATCCAGCACGGTGCTGGCAGGGAGCACAGCCCTTTGAAGTACTGCACCATCGGAGATCATTCAGCAATTCCTCTTTCTCCTTGTCATGAGTCTTTCTGAGAGGGAGGAGAGAGGGAAGGACTTTGGAGGTGGATGGGGGTGCTGGGAGCCATCCTCAGGCACTGCTTCTGCCTGGGTCCAGCACTGCTGAACAGCTTTTGTTTTCACCGAGGGCCCGGTCAACAGGAAGACCAAGGTCTCTGAAAATGAATTTGCTGCTGAAAAAACCCGTATGTCCAGTGCATTCTGAAGTGAGAAGAGCGATGGTTTTCCATTTAGCTGATTTCCTGAAGGGTGGCCAAACCAGCCAGGAAGCGAGGGCATAGGCAGCAATGCCTCCTTTGCCTGGCACCCAGCCCGCTGCTGCCACCGAATGCCATTCCCAGATCCCACTTGGTTTTGCTCCAGACTCATTTCAAGAAACAACCACATCAAAACAACAGCCCAACCTGTTGCCTTCCTGTTTGCAAAACCCAACTGTGAAACTGCGGCCAGGCAGCACAGTGACATCCGCTGTGCAGCTTCCTGGGTGGAAGTGGAGTTGTGATGGCAGGTGGCGAGGGAAGCTTGTGGTTCCCTGAAGAGGAGCCCGAGTGCTTCCTTGACCTGGGATAGTGGGAAGAGCCTGATGGGTTGCTGTGTATGAGGGCAAGAGTTAAACGCAGTGGATGAGCGTGGATGAGAGGCAGTGGTTCCTGGTCAGGGTAGCACGGGACAAGTGCTTAAATCACTTTGCAATTGCTTAAAAGTGGTTTTTGTTGCTCTGTTTTTCTATTCTCATCACATTGCTTGGCAGTGCTGCTGTAAGAGCATCCTTTTACACCTGCACTGTGTGCCTTAGGTTGTCCTGGCATGAAGCAAGCTTGCCTCAGGCAGCTCAGCTCTGCTCCAGGCAGTCAGGAGCCCAGGGTGGGCATGAGGTGGGGAGTCACGATGCCATTTTAAGAGCTTTGGTGTGGCAACGTGCAGCCGCAGGGATGCAGGGAGGAGTGGTGAGAGCTGGGTGATTTTGGCAGGGCAGCCTCGGCAGCACCATCTGCTTGGCACAGGTTCCAAGGGTGGGAGCAGCCGTGGGGGACGGGACCTTGTCCTGGGCACATCCCCATGGCAATGCTGGCAGCTGACCCAGTCCAGGCCATGTCCCAGCAGCTGTGCCCACATGCCAGTCATTTGCATGACAAATTCAAGTATTTTTCATAGGAAACCATCACACCGGAGCTGTCAGGGTAGGTTTTTGCATGGGCTGGAGCACGTGCAGCCCCTTTGCTGCCATGGAGCAGCGTCACCACAAATAACCAGTGCTGGGGTCCGGACAAGCACAGCCACAGCCTGGCATCACCTCCCTTCCCACCCAGAGCAGCGAGCTGAGAGACAGCCCCATACCCCATGCTGCCTGCAGAGCTTCATGTCTGGTGCCAGATCCTCCTCCTCACCTGCCCACCGTGGATGGGCCATGGCTTGGGTGAGATTCCTGCCCTTTACAGGCACATTGCCCCGGGATGTCCCCTGGCACAAAGGCACAGCTGAGGGAGGGCTTTGCTGCCACTCGTGTTAATGGGCAGGGGGGCACCAAGCCCATGTCTCTGCACCCGGTATCTGGCTGAGACATGTGGGGAGCCCTAAGGGCTCACATAAGGGCTCTGCAGTGGCACCCCAACTCCTGCGGGTAATGAGCCCCAGTGCCAGAACTTTATGGCTGAAAGGCTGAGTGCAGGATTTATTCACATGGGAACTGGACTGTTGTTGGCACTTACCCTTTAAAATAAAGTTCACAGCAGAATGTTTATGCCCCCTCGCATATAGAGAATGCTAACAGCAACCTTTGGTTTTTTTTCTTCTTTTCTGGCTGAAACTTGTTTTTCCCTCCTTTGTGCCTCTCTGAATCCTGCCAGTGCAGAGATTCTCTTGTCCAGAGAGAGAAAAAAAAGGAAAAAAAGAAAACCTTAAGCCTGGGATTAAAACCCACCACTAAAATAGCTTTAATAACAAAGTCAACTGACTAGCCAGGAGCCCAGTGAATGCCTGTCACGTATCGCCCTTCGCCTGGGCGCACGGTCATGTGTTGCACTAGATAGTTCCTGGAAAAGCTTCTGCTCAGCCTGATAGACCCATGGGTGCTGATACCGCTGTGCCTGTGCTGTGCTGGCCCCGCTCTGCCAGAGGGCTGCGGAAAACTTCCTCAGCTTATAGGGGAAAGAGGGGATAAATACATCTCCTTTGGGTAGCAGAGACAGGTCAGCTTGTGACCTGAGTAACAACCAGCTGTAAGTGGTGATTGGAGCTTCTCCAGCATCAGTGGTCCAGCACCTGGGCCAGCAGGCCCATTAGCCCTTATTGATGTCTTTAGCAGTAGGATTTATGTTTTTGTTTCACACACACACATGCATGTTTTTGCATAGTTTCAGCCAAATAAATAACAAAAAAGTGGGATCTTGCATGAGATAAAAACAGAGGGTTGGTAGATCCTCCTCAGGCAGAGCCACCTTGCCGTGTTATTCATGAGACATGTGAGACCATGCAACCAGGAATGTGTTATGGGGGGATTTGTAGCTAAACCCAAAGCCTGTGGGTTTATCCTTTTGCTGACACCAGCAGTGCAAACCTGGAAACACAGACGTGTGATGAGGCACAGCGAGAGGGATGATGGCTCAGATAAGGCCACGCTGTGTGGGAGGGCAATTAAAGGCTCAGATTTATTAGCTGTGTGCCCATGCTTGGGAGGCTGATGGTGGTGATGGAGAGGTTGTTGATGGGAAGGGTAGAGATGGAGATTGTTGGCACAGCACATCCCTGGTGAACCAGGCTGTGGTGGGTACAGGCTGTGCCCAACCTCATGGCATGGGTGTTTGCCCACAGAGGATCTCGGAGCAGTGCTGCCCAT